AAACAAACAATAACGAGGCATTTTAAGACCAACAACCCCCGCAACTACGGTTCCCGTATGTACGCCTATACGGACCAACAGATGCTCATTAAGYTGCGCAGGATCCTTGATGCTMGGCATGGCAGAGAGGAGATTGAGCGCCATGTCTGCAATGTGTTCTGCGTGGTACTGGGTACGCTCTGGGACACCACTGACCACCATATATGCATCRCCGATCGTTTCGACCTGGAATAGAAACATTTACAAGCTATCTCAGCTCCAAGCTGATAGAGCATCGGTAGTACAAATCCGAGGGTCAAGGGTTCGAATCCTAGCAAAGTCGGTAACTGATTTTTCATAATTTTTTTCCAAGGGTACTCTTTCTCTTGGAACAAAATCTGCAGGATGGACAATGCATCAGAAAGCAGTTGTTATTTGATGAGCGGTCCCCAAAGTGGACAAGGCTAGAAAGACTGTTTGGAATGGATGCGCAGCAGATTGGGTGCCAGATGATAGAGAGAGATGATGATGACTAACAACCTCCTTAAGCACAATAACTTTCCTTCATTTCCATATCATGTGTCTCATCATAGTGCCATGCGGTCCTCATATTCAGAATGGGCCTCAACCAATCTGTGAACCACGATTCAACAAACTCAACGACCAAGCAACCTACCAACAAACCAACCAATGAGCCAACCAAGAAATACAACAAAAAAGCTAGAGAGCAGGCAACTGACCGACAGACATATCAACAATTCATCAACTAAACAAACCACACATGTCCAGGACTGGCTTATGCACTCCCTTGTCCTTTCCCTCGGCCTGTTCCAAGGGAATAGCTAGGGGATATCCGGTGCATTTCAGTAGTCTTTAGAGGACAAACAGGACAGAAAGTATTGGACATCCCGCAAAGAAACAAACAACTGTGATAAATAAATGTTTGACAAAACTTTAATAAAGTACTCCTCACCCTCAATAAATATTTATCCTCTCAACTGAATCCAACCTCTTTCCCTAGCCATTTATGGTTGTCTTACCTTGTACACGTTATGTTTTTCGCTGAGTTTGTCAAATGTAGTATACATCCAGTTTAGCATAGTAACAACCTCCATGGGAGATATCAGAGAACAGATAGTCGTRAACCCAACGACGTCACTGAACAGTATTGTTACCTCAGAAAATGTCTGAAAACAGAAATTTATGACTTACAGCAAATCATGGTTTAACATATATTACATTTGCAAAAAACGCAAGATAACATGTGTTTGTACTACCAATTTGCGTAATTAAGTCAGAAAACCAAAAGGCAAAAACCTACAAAATAGTCTTGGTTATATAGAGGATATTACATGGGCGCAACAACACGCCCCCCTTTCCTTAAAATGTTTTTTTCGCCCTTGACAATCCATAGTTTTACGGCAAGTRATCGCTAGCTTAGAAATACAATAAAATGTTTCCTTACTTCACACGTGGTTAGTGCTGGTTCGCCTTTGCGCAGTCGATCAGCAACCGTTTTTGGGATCATTTGATAGAGAAGTGTGTCTGTTCGCACTTTCTCGATATCAAGTTCGCGCATGCTCTCTTCAAGTTTTGCACTTTTCTGTACTTCCTGTAGATGGATAGAAGTAAGATGATTGATATGATCTGTTAGATATAGCTAATTCAAAATATATGCTTGATAATTATTTCAAGAATTTAAAACGACCTAAAAGTATTCTATTGTTCGGTTAGCACTGATTAGCAGTAAATAGTAAAAAGATTTGCACATATTAAAAAGTGTTTGAAGTCAGCACAGGACTCTAAAAGGTAAGCGAGGGTTTTATCTTCGACCCTAAAAGGTCCGTCGAGCATACCCACCATGCTTTATAGCGAAGTCCCCCCGTCTTGCTTCACTTTCACTTTTAGTACAAATTAGTACTACTTAGATTTTGTACAGTTGCACGGTTGAGGTGCGCGGATCACTCTCGCAATTTCTTCAGAATTTTTGTCAAAAAATATTAGAGRAAGTGCCGTTATTTACTCTATCCTTTTGATATTTCTTCTTTGAGACAAAATGTTTCTGCTTTTGCATGTCTGCATAACAAACATTTTCTCTGAGAAGTTATAATAGGTATAAATGAGTTATATGTTTAAATTGCGCGGCGTTTTGAAATTACTGCTTCTTCGTGCAAGWATCACTTCAAAACGATTACCTGATCAAGAGCAAGTTTAAGTTCCGCTGACTGCTGAGTTCCTGCTAGCACTAGGTCTCTACTGGAGTCGTGCATGCTCAGATCGTTGATAAACAAGCCAATCCTACACATAACTTCTAGGTTTTGAATCCTGGAAAATGGCAAACACAAAATCAAAATGAAATTTCTCGAGCTCTCGAGCTTAAAATAGCCAATACATGAACTCTACATGAATTTGATTTGATAAAACTTCTTATGTATTATTTGCAAACATAAAAATATATGCAGAAAATTTCTCCAAAATCTGTAAATCCGGCACCAAAACATACGCACACGTGAGAGTATTTTCGTAATAGACGCTGCATTCCTGCTGGCCGCTGGGCAGCAAAATGGGACTGAAACTGAACCTGTTGTATTGCTCATATGGTTTCATGGCTTACCAGACGTACATGTACTTCTGGGTTTACAGAATAAATTGCTTGTCACAGAGTTGAGTGAAAAAAGGGGAAAAGTATTAAAATTTTTCTTGGCGATACTAGTATGGTCCAGTACTACCAGTATAGCTCCTGAACAAGTCTACTCATTTTAATTAACCCGCATCGAGGACCGTTTCTACTTACACCGGTGTGGCAAGATAAGCCATCGACTTCCACTCCTCAACATGCATCATTTGTCCCTTAAGGTGAATACGCCCACTAAGTTCTTCCTTGCTTGGAGAATTATCGACTTCCACGTCACCATTACTCAGCGGACATTTCCATATAGAGTCTTGTTTAGTGATTCCGTTTTGAATTCGCACGTTGACTGAAGGATGACGGGATTGCAGTTCAAATACGACATTGGTATGGTAAGAAATCTGTTTACAAAGATGTTGTAGTATTTGCTTAAAATTAGAGCAAGGATCATAAAAAAATGAAGAAAGTTTATTGTCCGGTTAGCCTGTGTAGCGACTCTAGGGGAGGGGAGGAGGGGTAAACGGAAGGGGAGAGGGGTCYCCACTATTGATCGTTCATTCTACGGAAAATTGAATAGCTTTTGATTTATCTGTTTTGATATGATTAATATGTTTAGAAAATGATCTTTTAAATCGAATTACTTTATGGATATGTACAGTTAGGCTTGTCAACCGAATCAAACCAAACCACATTGAATAATTTTTGTGTTGGGCTTCCTGTGTAGTTGCTATTGTTTCCCGCCATTTTTCGTTGGCAGACATATTGGAATTTGATAAAATTCTTTGCGCCATTAAAGGCTCCTTTTTTAGTATTTTATCTAMAAAAATGTCTTCAGTAGACGGAAGATGTGGATCGAAGATTTCGACCGCCGTGGATGTGCAGGAGTTAAGGCATATAAAGCTGAAATCCTGTCAAACGTGCAAAGAGGCTTGCTCTCCGGGATTTTGAACTATTGTACGGTCAAAGGTAAGATTTACGTTTGCTAGAGTCTTTGTTGTTGTAGCTTGCTTGCGAGAACAAGTGAATCGAAAAACCTTGATGATTTATTGACGAAAATGTAGTGTTTACTTGAGCTTAATTAGACAGTGGTACACTTATAGTAAGATCAGACATGTAGATTAATAATGTCTATCATTCGATATTAATGTTCTAGCCTGACTGAAGTCGAAATATTTGAGAATTAGTCAGAATGAGTCATTAAACCTGTAAAACGAAACTTAATTATTAAAGTGCAGTTAAATAGACACTCATAAAAAACAACAACAGCAACAACAACAACAATAATAACAACAACAACAACAACAACAACAACAAAAACATCAACAACAACACCACCACCAAACAAACCAGGCAAACAGACAACGGTGCAATTAGAAAATAAGTTAGTACCTAGTGTGCTTTAGTGTAATTATATCTTTTTCACAGCTTTTTTGACTTCACTCCAAGTTCACTGCTGTTATTGTTTCAATTCATTTATTGTCTAATGCCTCAATGAATATTTGATAAAAATACAAAATCTGACCTGTCTGGGTTTTAAAGTAACAAGAAGAAAATTCTAGAAATTATTACAAAAATAACCCCAGAGCCAATACAGCTGCTGATAGATAATGTACATGTAACCTGAAACAGAACAGCATTGAGAAAAGTATGATSTTTAATATTGTACATCAGCCCTCCAGGCTACAGGCTATAAATAATATAATCTTATTGTTCACATCCTTTCAGCCATTTCTTTTAGTATCAGCCAGTAAAACAAATAATTACATTTTGATTCAAATGCACACTTTTTTCCAATGAAAGGATAACTGTAAGAAAGAATTCTTCTATAGTATTTTATATTGTGTTCTTTTTTGATTGAAACTTTCAAATTATTCATTGGATGACTGCATGAGACATCTAGTGAAATTTAATTATCTTTTTTGCAGAATGAGAAAT